CAGATGAGTCTTTTCGATCTCGTCAGCGTATTTTCTACATTATGATCACATTTCTCTCTACAGATATCAGAGAAAATACCCAACTGCAACGTGAGCCAGAGAGCTGCCGTACTGGAGAGGCCGTCGCCGGTGAGTTTCAATTTTTTTGTATTTTTTCGACCAACTAAGGCCCCTTAACATGTTTTCTCACATGGATTAATGCAAAATCGACCGAAAATGGCTAAAAACAGTCGACTGAAGCGAACCGCTGCCAGGCCAAAATTCTAGAATTGGCCAAAAAATGGGTCCTGAGACTAATTTTGGGTTTTTGTGATATTTATAGGTACTTATAGTGCGTTTTAATTCCCGAAAAAAAAATTCAAGAAATCTGGGGACTGATAGTAGACGCAGTCAACAGGTTATCTTTTCGGGCGTCACATTGTGTAAAAATTTCTTACCATATTCCCTATTATGGAATTGAAGTCTAAATAAATAGTAATACGGTATTTTATGTAATTTAAAAAATATTCATAATTAATCACGGGTTACTAATAGAGGCAGAACCGGAAGTTATCTATTGTTGATTCTGTTGAATTATTTTACAGTTAATTGCATGATAGTATTTCATTAATCGATTTTATAGTTTTGAATGTATGAATTGTAACGGCCCCGGAAATTTAAAATGAAATGTATATTAAAAATATCAAATGCGAAAGCGAAGTCAAAATTCGATTAACATCTCTTACACTAAAACCAAAAACGTGCTCATAAAATATAAAAGATCAAACTACCTAAAGGAGAAACTTGAAAGTAAAAGCTACGAATATGACTATGGAGTCTTTAGGCGTCCCCTTCGTCGTCCTCCTGCGGAACCGGCTCGGGAACGATGTCTTCCTGATCTGAAATGATTAAATAAGGAATGAGCTACACTAGCCCAGTAAAGACATCACGATATCTCACCGTCACGGAGGTAAAGGTGGGTAGAAAACACAAAAAGACCAATGGAGCATAATTTACAACAAATTCTTTTATCAATAATAAATCTTTCACCATCTACCTACCTCGGTGAAATTCATAAAACAGTATACGAAAGCAATAACATTATCATCATCATGAAATCATATGCGAACTGTATAACATAATACTTATCACGCCTTTTGTAATTCAATCATTACACGACATATTTTCCTCATTTACCAGCCCACTAGTATCTATGGGGATCCATAGGGGTCCCGCTACCCGTTAACCCTTAACACTTGAAATCAGATTCCAGGGCCGTCCCCATACCCCGTCCGGTATGGGCGCCAAAACACATAAGATCTCCATACCCCGTCCGGTATGGGAGACCACAATCCCGGTAGGGTTCCCTACGGACCCGGTCCGTCCACCATCTCCCAGGATATCTAGTCAGGCTGACCACATTATACAATTACCCATTTACATAATTTTTCATTCTTTTTTTCCTCAGTCAGCATCATTAAATCCACATACAAACAAGCAAAACAGTAATTTATGCCAAACAGACAACATACAGCATCAATATCCTAGTCATTCATCCATAATCATAAAACAGTACA